TTCGTTAATTAATGTTATATATTGTACTTGGCTATATTTCATAAAAGAGTTAATATATTATTGTGTCTATATATTTAAAATATTGTATAAAAAAGTATTTTGAATTAATATTATAAATGACGCCACTATATAATATATGATATGTATAAATAGTGCATTATAACTAGTTTTAGTAATTTTATTATGTATGTTTTTACTGCTAAAATATATAGATATTTTTTTCTTACATAGTGTATTTATTTCCATGTACCACTTATCAGATAATATATATATATGATTACACTTTTTTTGTATATATTTTATAAGACATTAAGCAAAATTTTGTTCTACACCGTAACGATTGTTCTCTATTTATTCATTTCATCAATGAGAATTAGATCGTATTCAATTATTTGTNNATTTATTCATTCTTAATTATTCTGATATGTATTTATGAAATAACTGAATTAAATAAATATTATCTAAAAAATCTGAAAAAATTATCAAGGTACATAAATATACAATAGAAAATACTTACTAATATATCTATAATAATATTAGAAAGTATGAATTAAAAGAATATTTATCTTGTTCATAATAAAAGTAGCAAATTATAGTAATTAATGTGTAAAAAAAAAAATGCAATTACTACTGGAACAAAAATATAATCTTATCAAATGGAATTCAAAATATTGTGGATTTTATTTTATATTATATTTAGTATAATATCTTGGTAGATTTTTTTTTATATATTCTAGTTTAACATGAAATATGTTTTTCCTACTATTATGACATGTATTTTAACGATACATGTATATGCATATAAAATTTTAGAAAATTTTAATTTAATATTTTTAGTTCGTTTGAAAAATATTTTCTTAAAGAATGAGTTATAGATACAAAATTTATACATATATTTATTACATTTTTGTTATTAGAATATATGGTATAGATATATATTTATGATTTAACCGAATTACAAAAATCTTTAATGTCATTTTTGTTAAATATAAAAGTATTTCAATTAATTATTCTAAGAATGTCTTTATATAGATATTAATACACATAAGTAAGACTAGTTACAAGAAGTGGATTAGAATGGTTCATGAATTTTAAATGTGATAAATAATAAGCTATTTTTCACATAATTTTATATTGTCGTTTTCAATGTATTTATATGATGAATTTCATTTTCCAATACCTGAATTTATATATGACACAGAATATGAAGTTTTCAGTAATTAGCGTATCACAGTGAAAATTATTATGTAAACATAAATATTTCATTCACAAAAGATTTCGTTTTAATATATTCTTTAAGAATATAATTTTAGCTAAATATAGTAAATGGTTTATGTATTTTTTCTACAGTTATATATTAGATGATAACATGCCTTTTATTATTTCCTTTTCATGAACACGTTTATAGATTGTTTGGGTAACATTGTGTGTGTAAGAGTTGTAACGTAAAATATGCAAACAATAATTATTAAATGTTAAATTGGATTCAATGTATCATATACTTTATGTCTACAACATTTACTTCTTATGGGTATATCTTATATTTACTATGACATGGCCTCGAAAAACCTTATTATTTTCATTTCACTACTGTATTCATTTTTCGTTACCACTATTTCATGTTCATTTGTTTAAGATGAATTTTGTGTGAAGTGATGAAGCAAATTATTTTTCTTAATATAGATCATTATTTGGTGAAGAAATAAGTGTCATGATAATTTGATTTGTTTCTATTTCTGATATTTTATCAATAATCCTTCGTACGAGCTTTCATATATTTCTTTTTTAATTTTACTTTAATTTTATCTATATCAATAGTGATTATACTCACAATATTTATCCATTTACTTTTCTAATGGAAATATCATGAAACTTTCATATATTACATCTAAAAATAGCCTCATTATTAACACATATAAAAATGGTTTTATTATATTGGACGTTGAGCATAAAATTATGAGGTTTGTCTCATACATAGAGAACCTTAAAAATCTATGTCTTATTTCACTATGTTTTTCATGTAATGGAAGACGTTGAAAAATAATTTATATTTTAATGTATATATCTTGAATATACCTTTAGGAAGTAAAATAATATACAATATAATACATGTGTATATATAAAATTTTATATGCTTAATTTTTATATGAAAATGATAAAAGTTTAATCTAAATACTTCATTTTTATGTATATACTATTCAATTTATATTCAAAAAAATTAATTGGTATTAATATGATGCACATTTTTTTAATAAATTTTTAGTATTAAATATTATTATTTACCGAAAAAAAAAAATTGAATAAATGTTATTCTCTTTATGAAAATTCTATATTAAGTAAATATTGTGCGTATGAAAATTTCAGCATCCATAATTATTAAAAGAATACTGAATTTCTAGGTTAATAATTTACGTAATTTATAAAAAATATTTTTAATTTATATTGAAGCATATATAATATTTACATTTTACTATAAAAAATAATAAAAAAATTGATAAATAAGCAGAAATAAAACATACTAAATAATAATATATTAAAAAAATAATAATATTCATAATATTATAAAATGAACATTCTATATCTATTTTTTTATAATTATTATAATATAAAAATTATAAAATGTACATTTTAAGATAATATATTTAATAATAAAATAAATATTAAGAGATAAAATTATGATATGCATAATATATAACGCTTAGATCATTTATATTTAATAGGAAAATCATAGAATATAATGAATGAATGAGATATAAATAAAATCTAATTAGAGATATTAAATAGCTATATAATTAAACATAACAATAAAAATAATTAAAATCATAATAAAGTTACATAAGTCATTACATAAAATCTTGTACCGTATATAATAATGCAGAATATATAAAGAATGATCACAATTTAGAAACTAAAAAAATAATCTTAAATCATAAAAAATAAATATAAAAACGATATTTAAAACAATGAAATTTAAACATAAACCCTGGATTCTATAAATATAAATTCATTATCTAGTATGTATATTATGGATTGCACTAAATGTTTCACTTATTTCTGTTTTCAATTTTTATACGATAATAATTTAAAATTATAGGAAAGGTAAATTTACATTATATAATTCTTTTAGTATTAATTATTTTTCCTTAAATATCACATATATCACACTTTTATAATACAAATTTAGTAAATCAATCCTTATATGATGCATGTAGTTCTTTATTTTATTCATTGATGTATAAATTTATAAGTAAAATAGATAGTTACACTGTTCCTGTGTTACATTTGTCCTCATTCCTCAAATATTCTTATCATAATTTTTAAGGTATGAAATGTATGAAATATTGTATAGACTGTTATCTATATTAGATAACAATGATTCTTTACTCTTTTTACTGGCTTTTATTTCTAAAAATTCCTTCATTTTTGCTTTAACCCGTTCCCTTGTGCTAAGAGGAGTTATCTAATAGAATAATTCAGCCATAATAAATATATGATCTATATTTATTGTATAGGAATTAGTTTTTTATTGAAATAAATTACAACATTTCTTTTACTATAAATGTTTTATTATAATAATAGTACATTACTTTGTATGATACAAAATTAACCATAATAATACCAAAAATAATAAAACCTACTATTAAAAATGTTTTAACTATATGTATTCTGTGAGCAGATCATAATTCTGAGTAAATAGTGTATTATGCATTAATATTCATTTGAAAAACTCCTACCTGGTGATTTTGCATGCACAACTGAGGTGACTTCTTTAGTAAGGTTCCGCGATTTATCAACAAAAGGATCTGAAGCAACAGTTCTTGAATTTTCTAAAACTGAAGAATTTATATAACGTAATAAATAAATCAACCATACTATAGAGTTTTATTTATTTAAATATTAGTAATAATTAATTTTTTACCATTAACACAATTATGTGATTCCTGAAAAATTTTACTCCAATATCCTTCTTGTTCTTTTACTTTAATATTTTCTAAATCATGATTTACATAAATATTATCTCGTAGTTTTGTTATCAAACAATTTACATGAGTTGAATAGACATTTTTTCTTCTTTTGCAATAACATGTATCACAATAATATTTTATCCAAGCACCTTCTACATTAAAATTTATAATACTACTTATAATATCTTTACTTATCTTTAATGCATTAACTATTTCAGTCATAAAATTTAAGTAATAATTCAAAGCATTACAATAATTAATTTTCTCATTATCTAACATATGTTCTTTTATTAACTTGTTATATTCAACAATGACATCTGGATTCATTTTATTTAAAAAGATTTCAACATCAACGTGATCTATAGAAGTGTTTTTTATTATAGATTCTACCATACTTATATCAACTTTTTTAAACAATATCTTTGTAAATTCAATTGGGGGGAATTTTTCACTCAGAAAAGTCTGTTTATTAAAGTAAAATTTATATTGCTATATATATAAATTTAATTATATGACTGATGATAGTAATTATAAAATTTTAAAATATATTACTTTCTATAACGTACTTCATCTGCCATATTTAATTATTTTTATAGTGATTAAATCATAAGAATCAATATATTATAATATTATTACACTAGCATTTTATATAAAATTGCACACTACATGAGAAAAATTCAAATTGGTTATATTAGAAAAATTAGTTCATTATATATATGAGTACAAATAATAATTAATTTTATACTATTATTATTATTATGACTTATATTGGAAGTATTTTTTATCTTATGTTACTTAAGAGAAATTTATTTACTGATTAACAATATTCATTTTATGAAACATAATGAAAAAAAACACATTTTTCATAAAATAATTTATTTTATTCAATTCTAAATGAGACAGGTTTTACGAATAATTTTGCATATATATCAATATAAAAAATATAAATACATATATTGTAAACATAGATAGAAGATATTCACGTTTTTATAAGCATTCGGAAAACTTAAATGTTTTTGTAGTGTATAATTATCAAAAATTTTTAATGTTATATATATAACACATTTATATATTAAATTTCAATTAATTATTAATATTAATTTGTTATTATTTCATGTAAAAATATTAATATATGCTGAATAAAATGTTTTTCTGGAATTAAATAATGCAGTAAATATGTTCTTGAAGAAAAAATATTTAGGGATTTAATTCAGGCATTATAGATGAATATTGAGTTTCCTTTGTTTACTTTTATATAATTTTGTTTTACATGATTTACATTTGTATTTTCCCGTTCTCTCTTTTATTATCTATTCAATATACATTTACAATTTATATTTCTCGGGTTATAATTATTAATTTTATTGCCTACAAAAATTAGGTGTTCTATTTATGAATGTGATATATTAATTATATTAGAGTTATTGTATTTCCGAGTTTATTAAATTAATACACTCTTATATATAAAAAGATAAATGTTAACTATAATAACATGTATTAATCCTATTTATTAAATATTTATTAGTTCTATAACTAATGCGAAATTATTATATTAATCCATGTATATGTGAATAGTCTTTTATTATAAAATGTATTTTTATATTTTATTCTATATTTTTATATATTATTCTAATATTTATAACATAAAAATTATGTTTTCTTCTATAAAAGTTATTTAAAAGATATTAATTAATAAAATAGATATATAGAACAAATGTAAATACAATGATTTTAAATCTATTATTTATTATATTAATATAATATTTATCTTATTTTTTATAAACTATATAGTTTTATAACTATCTGTTTAAAGTATACATAAATCGCTATTAATTTAGTTTATGATGGTTATATTTATTTTTATGTAGATGTATTTTTTTAGGATTTACAATGTACATATATATATATCTATTTTAATAATTATTAAGTTTATATTAATTTAAATGATATGTTATTAATGCTTTCAAATGAATTGAGACACAGATATACATAATAAAACTGTAAAATCTTTAACATACATATTTGTAAAATAATATCATAGAATACTTAGATTCACCAAAAAATACATTTAAATATATATATTGCAAAAATAAAA